GGCAACATATGCCAAAATGGCAAGGAGTGGCAGACCAACTGCAGCAAGGAGCAATTAAGGGCATTTTGAGAGAACTTTGGGCAAATGGCTAAGAAAATCACAAACATTAACTTATAAGATGATTTAATGGGTTATCACTTTCGAACAATAGGTGGCGCAGTTACGAAATAGATGTGATGTGGTCAGAGTGAGGTGACAATGACACATGCAAAGTTTGGTGTCAAAATGTGAAGGCATTGCAGAGATAAAGCCTAAATAGTAATTTGGCAGCATGCCTACATTTTGATGCTGTGGTATACAAAAACGGTTTTGTCTATCATCGTGCAATTCATAACTTTTAGTCGGCACGGTCTGGAGATGATACGATTCAATTTTCGTGAAAATCGGACAAACGGTCTAGGAGGAGTTCGAAAAAGAAGGTTTTTCAAAGAAATAAAGATGGCGAACAGGAAGTTTGTCTGATTATGGAAAACCTGATATCTATGTTTTCGGCATAACCCAAGGAATCTATTAAGATCAGTTTCATTGCAATAGGCAAATTTATTCAAAAGTTATTAGCGTTCTCAGAAATTAATTATAACTTTTGACCAACAGGTGGCGCTGTCTCAAAATCTTTTGAGTACCTTCAGGGCATGCTGCTTATGGCACACACTGAGTTTTGTAATATTACACCAATGCATTTGTTTAGTATAGCATTTTATTTCACAAAACTCTATTGAAGTCAATGGGAATTTCACGTTTTGTTCTATTATAGCGCCACCAAGAGGCTCAGTCCCACAATTTTTTTTATGTGTCCTCAGAGTGACCCCATACATATGTGTGTCAATTTTGGTGCAAATATCTCAATTCACTTCCGAGTTATAAACATTTATATGAAAAAACACGTAAAAAATGACTGACACATGACTTTGTTTGAATTTTACTACCCCTTACTATCAATATTTTCGCATTTGGGCATTAGCGTATAGTTAACAAGCTATGATTCCGTGTTTCTGGCGGTGGTTTCGTCTCGATCGGAACAGCGGTTTTGAAGATATCGCCAAGTGTTTTTTTCGCGCTAAATCGCTACGCTACACCAACCGTAAGACGAAACCCAGCATGTTTAGTATCGTTGGACTCGGCAACGATTCAGGAACTCAAAAAGATGACTCCCGTGAAAATAAGTGTACCACACCCAAAGTTATAAGCGTTTGAAAAAAAAATTCACCACTAGGTGGCGCTGTTTCGAAACTTCTCAGGCTCCTTCAGGGCATCGTACTGATGACCCATACCGAGTTTCGTAACAATTCGTTCATGCGTTCAAAAAATACAGCATTTTAGCACATAATTCAAAATGGCCGACAGCCAAAATGGCCGATCTGGGAAAATTGGATATCGGTCGACTCGGCATGACGCCCTGAATCTAACGAGATGAAGTTTATGATTTTTGGACAAACCGTTCAGAAGTTACGAGCAAAAATAGCCATTTTTCATATCTCCGGACCACTAGGTGGCGCTGCGCCGAAACGCTGCACGTAGCCTCAGGTCATGCTTGTGATAACACGTACCAAGTTTGGTCTGAAATAGGATAAGCGTTGCGGAGATACAGCCTCACGTCTGTTTTCGCAAGCGCTACGTAAAATTAGTTTGCGCGTTTATCGAAAACGGTTATTCGAATCATCTTGAATTCCATAACTTTTTGTCAGCACTGCCTGGAGATGATCCGGTGCGATTTTGGTGAAAATCGGACAAACCGTCTAGGACGAGTTCGCAAAAGTAGGTTTTTTGGAAAATTCAAAATGGCGGCCGTTTTTTTATGACGGAAAATGACGTCATAGGGTGCGATCGAATCGGCATGAGCTCAGGAACAAGAGGAAAAAGAATTTTGTTGATAGGCCTTACGGTTCAAAAGTTATTAGCATAATAAAAGTGAAACTTTGGACAGTTGGTGGCGCTAGAGGGAATGAGTTAGAGACACCAAAATTGGTGTATTTAAAGTTGGGACTGTCCTCTATCAGAATGTCAAACCAAAACAACTTTCCCGCAAACCGGTCTATGGGCTGCCATAGACGCCCAGTCGGAAGAAGAATAATAATAATAATAATAGATACAATACAGCTTGGCCATAGCTGCAAGCAGCCATTACGGGGCCAAGCGCAAGAAGCGGCAACATATGCCAAAATGGCAAGGAGTGGCAGACCAACTGCAGCAAGGAGCAATTAAGGGCATTTTGAGAGAACTTTGGGCAAATGGCTAAAAAAATCACATAAACATTAACTTATAAGATGATTTAATGGGTTATCACTTTCGAACAATAGGTGGCGCAGTTACGAAATAGATGTGATGTGGTCAGAGTGAGGTGACAATGACACATGCAAAGTTTGGTGTCAAAATGTGAAGGCATTGCAGAGATAAAGCCTAAATAGTAATTTTGGCAGCATGCCTAAACTTTGATGCTGTGGTATACGAAAACGGTTTTGTCTATCATCGTGCAATTCATAACTTTTAGTCGGCACGGTCTGGAGATGATACGATTCAATTTTCGTGAAAATCGGACAAACGGTCTAGGAGGAGTTCGAAAAAGAAGGTTTTTCAAAGAAATAAAGATGGCGGACAGGAAGTTTGTCTGATTATGCAAAACCTGATATCTATGTTTTCGGCATAACCCAAGGAATCTATTAAGATCAGTTTCATTGCAATAGGCAAATTTATTCAAAAGTTATTAGCGTTCTCAGAAATTAATTATAACTTTTGACCAACAGGTGGCGCTGTCTCAAAATCTTTTGAGTACCTTCAGGGCATGCTGCTTATGGCACACACTGAGTTTCGTAATGTTACACTAATGCATTTGTTTAGTATAGCATTTTATTTCACAAAACTCTATTGAAGTCAATGGGAATTTCACGTTTTGTTCTATTATAGCGCCACCAAGAGGCTCAGTCCCACAATTTTTTTTATGTGTCCTCAGAGTGACCCCATACATATGTGTGTCAATTTTGGTGCAAATATCTCAATTACTTCCGAGTTATAAACATTTATATGAAAAAACACGTAAAAAATGACTGACACATGACTTTGTTTGAATTTTACTACCCCTTACTATCAATATTTTCGCATTTGGGCATTAGCGTATAGTTAACAAGCTATGATTCCGTGTTTCTGGCGGTGGTTTCGTCTCGATCGGAACAGCGGTTTTGAAGATATCGCCAAGTGTTTTTTTCGCGCTAAATCGCTACGCTACACCAACCGTGAGACGAAACCCGACATATTTAGTATCGTTGGACTCGGCAACGATTCAGGACCTCAAAAATATGACTCCCGTGAAAATAAGTGTACCACACCCAAAGTTATAAGCGTTTGAAAAAAACAATTCACCACTAGGTGGCGCTGTTTCGAAACTTCTCAGGCTCCTTCAGGGCATCGTACTGATGACCCATACCGAGTTTCGTAACAATTCGTTCATGCGTTCAAAAAATACAGCATTTTAGCACATAATTCAAAATGGCCGACAGCCAAAATGGCCGATCTGGGAAAATTGGATATCGGTCGACTCGGCATGACGCCCTGAATCTAACGAGACCAAGTTTTGATTTTTGGACAAACCGTTCAGAAGTTACGAGCAAAAATAGCCATTTTTCATATCTCCGGACCACTAGGTGGCGCTGCGCCGAAACGCAGCACGTAGCCTCAGGTCATGCTTGTGATAACACGTACCAAGTTTGGTCTGAAAACGAGTAAGCGTTGCGGAGATACAACCTCACGTCTGTTTTCGCAAGCGCTACGTAAATTTTGTTTACGCGTTTATCGAAAACGGTTATTCGAATCATCTTGAATTCCATAACTTTTTGTCAGCACTGCCTGGAGATGATCCGGTGCGATTTTGGTGAAAATCGGACAAACCGTCTAGGACGAGTTCGCAAAAGTAGGTTTTTTGGAAAATTCAAAATGGCGGCCGTTTTTTTATGACGGAAAATGACGTCATAGGGTGCGATCGAATCGGCATGAGCTCAGGAACAAGAGGAAAAAAGAATTTTGTTGATAGGCCTTACGGTTCAAAAGTTATTAGCATAATAAAAGTGAAACTTTGGACAGTTGGTGGCGCTAGAGGGAATGAGTTAGAGACACCAAAATTGGTGTATTTAAAGTTGGGACTGTCCTCTATCAGAATGTCAAACCAAAACAACTTTCCCGCAAACCGGTCTATGGGCTGCCATAGACGCCCAGTCGGAAGAAGAATAATAATAATAATAATAATAATAATAGCTGCAAGATACAGCGCATTTCGGTGCTTGGCCATAGCGCAAGCAGCCATTACCGGGGCCAAGCGCAAGAAGCGGACATATGCCAAAATGGCAAGGAGTGGCAGACCAACTGCAGCAAGGAGCAATTAAGGGCATTTTGAGAGAACTTTGGGCAAATGGCTAAGAAAATCACATAAACATTAACTTATAAGATGATTTAATGGGTTATCACTTTCGAACA